AAGAGCGGGAGACGGGGTCGTTCTTTGGCTTCAGGTTTTGGATTGTTTTGGGCTCCAGGACCGGGCTGACTTGGGAGACGTCGTCACTGAACGCTCTCTTGTGGGTCAGCTTTGGAGACGGCAGGAAATCTTTCACTGGGGGGCAAATAAAACACAAAACAGAGGTGAGGCATCGCTGTCTTCCACTTGCAAACGCTAAGGAGATCAGTGAAACCGTATCAGCTTTCTCCCTCCCACGCTCCCTACCAGATCATAATTAAATTACCAGAAATGCAAAGCACAAATACGTGGCTGTACAGGCGGCGCGATCCTGGCCCCAAGCGCATCACCTCCCACTGCAGGATCCGGAGAGATCTCTGCGACACGACAAAGCCCAGGCCCGAGAGGTCCCGAGACGAGTCATAAATACAAGAAACTACCCAGAAGCGACTTACAGGGCTCACGCTCCCGTGTGATTTCAGAGAGAAGCAGCACGTCCCCAGGGACTCCCACCCAACAGGGGAACTCGCTGTCGTCGGCCAATTAACCCATTTAATTATATATTTTGTTTTCAAGGGACAGCAAGAATTAATTCACTACAAGGGCCTTTTTTGTTTGCAAATCGCCAAGAGCTCAGATTGTTTTAATCACCGGGAACCCGGCCACTGTTTCGGGTCATTGGAGAGCCTGGCAGCAATGTGCTCTTCTGAGGGCTTGCTGCTATGAGGTGGCATTAGCCACCTGCTTTTAGGGGGCAGAGAAGGACCCTCATAGCCCGCAAGCTCATGGTCACTGCATTAATGTGTAATTCAGGCTGTTTGTATGCAGGCTGAGCGTGAAAAGCAAAATCTGAGAGGTTTTTCCCCATTCTGGCAAGCACATTGCTGCCCGCACGCAGACAATTGGGGAGGGTTTGTGCAGGATGCTGCTTTTCAGGTAAGCAATGAGTTAATGGATTTGCAGGAAAGCCTCACCAGGCCCTCGCAAAGAAAAGAAGGGGGGAAAAAAAAAACCCCTAAAATAAAAGGAGTGGTGGGGATTAAAAGCGTGATCCTCTTACCGGAGCGCTCGGTGGACAGACTGCCGTGTCTGCTCGGGGATTTGGGGACCTCGGGAACACCCGCGGCCAGGACCAGGCTGGCGGAGGAGATGGTGCTGTCGGATCCCAGGGAGGTGTTGGACTGCGTCAGGGATGACTTGCGCAGCTTGTTCCTCAAGAAGAAGCCCTTGACCTTGGACTTCTTGCCCCCGACGTCGAAGTCATCCTCCGCGTCCAGGGCGCCCATGCTGCTGGGGATGATGGCAGAGGCCGACTCCAGGTCGTATTTCTTCTTGCCTTTCACCTTGTCCTTCAGCTTGCCGAAGGGCGACCGTGGCTTGTCCTTCACGGACAGGTCGAACATGCTGGCTGTCAGGCTGTTGCGCGTGAACTGGATGCTCACCAGGATCTCGCCACGCTCCTTCTCCTTCTTCCCGACCTTGGAGTGCAGCTTGTACCACCTGCAGGAATCACAGAATCACAGAATGGCTCGGT